AAGCAGGTTAAAACAATAAATGGAGAAAAAGAAATTGGAATGACTTATGCAGCAAGTAGTGCCACCAAACAGTACCAGCAGGTTGGTGTGGAGACCCTGGAAATTTGAAATTATGCTAGCCAAAATTAGTGCCAAATAACTGAAGGAACCGAATAACTGATTGCCTGATTTGTGATGGCGGACCTGTAGTAGTTATACACATTTTCCCAGATACTACTTCATTAATCCCCTTTAAATCCCAGCACATTGGATTACACACAACAGTTGACTGAATGATGGTCAATGTTTTTTCTTATTCCTTGTCACTTACCTCTGCCAGGGTTAAGAAAAGAAATTTTAATTTTTTTCTTTATTTTGACCCTCTTGTTTTTCTGTCAAGAGAGACAGATCAATGTTTAAAAATTAATTTTTAAACATTTATCTATTATTTTTATAATGTTTACAGTCTTTTATTAGTAGAATTATTGTCATTATATTATTATTATTGCCACAGTTGTTTTGGTGTACTTCCAATGGCTGTACTAGGACATACTGGGTCGTACTATGTTGCACTGGGTCATACTGGGTCATACTAGGTTGCCCTGGATTACAACCCAGGTACAATAAGGCCTGTTATCCTGGGTGTAAAGGGAGCAAGGAGCAGAATAAACACAGGTGAATGACTTTGAATTATATTTTCCTTTACCAATTATAAATATTTACAAGTATGTACACTATATACAGTTGGAAATATGTGTGTACCACATGGTGAATCAATAGGCAAAGACACAGCCTGGAGACAGAATAGACAACCGTTTTCAACCAGCTCTAGAATGGAAATGACAAGGGTGGAAACGTGAGTGGTGACCACGCCACTTCCACAATTGCCAGACTCACTTTTTCATTGGCTGAACCCAGGTATTGATCTGATGATGGGACCCTATCGTCCGACCCTTAGCACCCGGTTCACTGGTTGGGGGGTAGCCTTTTAATGAGGGTGTGTACATGCGCCGAATAAAGGTTACATACTCTTTGCATACCACACCCTTGGTCATACTAGGTTGCACTGGGTCATACTAGGTTGCACTGGGTCATAATAGGGTGCACTGGGTCATACTGGGTTGTACTAGCTTGCACTGGGTCATACCGGGTTGTACTAGGTTGCACTGGGTCATGCTGGGTTTCACTGGGTCCTACTGGGTCATACTAGGTTTCACTGGGTCCTACTGGGTCATACTAGGTTTCACTAGGTCATACTGGGTCATACTAGGTTGCCCTGGGTTATAATAGGTTGTACTAGGTCATATTGGGTTGTTTAGTAGCACTTACATAAATAAGAATGCACCTTAATGCAGGAGCATTACCTTGGTAGCTGGCAGGTCAGGAAGACATGTAGGCAACAACATGGGTACCACTGACTAGGTACAGGTTTATTGGTAATGTGAGTTACAGCAGTCAGGTCATAAGTGTGAAATTAAATTAAAGTGTTTTGGGGCATATTTATGGTTTAAACTATAAAAATAGGCATTTATAGGCATTTTTTTAACTGTGTCCAGAATTCACCATTTTTCCAAATTTGTGGGTGATCTTGGTATGTAACCCCTGCGAATTTGGGGAGACTACAGTTTGCTGCAGTATAAACATTTAAAAATATACCAGAAATGTTATAAGTTAGTTTAGTTTAATATGTTTATTATGCACCCCATACCCATCCTGTGGGCGGTAGTCAAAAGATTACAGAGGTACATAATTGGTCCAGGGACTGGACTCCAAAGTTTTGATAGCTGAGCAAGTTACAAAGGTAATGAACTAGATCTGGTCATAATCATGACAAAGTTACAAAGGTAATGAGCTCCAGGTAGAGCTGGTCACACTCATGAATAATTGCAAAGGTAATGAATCATAAACACATTAATCATGAGAATTTACAAAGGTAATGAGCTCCAGGTAGAGCTGGTCAAAATCATGACAAGTTTCAAAGGTAATGAATGATAAACACGTTATCACATGATTACAATCATAGACAAATTACAGAGTAATGAGCAGTTAACAAACATAGCAGGGAATTCATCCATTGCCCCAACAACAGATGTTGCTAGGTGCCTGTCTCTCCTCAGTAGACAGCCATTGCAAACAGCAGCAAGTTGCCCCGGGATCTGCTGCTTGCACGAGCACCATCGACCCTCCCCAAGAGGTCCAAGAAGCCAGTGACTCCGTTAGCAGCCCGATGGAGAGCTCCCCTAGGGACATGTCAGCATCCTGGTGGACGCCAAGTTGACTGAAGATCCCAGGCCCTCGTGTGCACGGATGTTGAAGCTTGAGGAACTGAGTACACACTGCCGGTGGCACACCTGACAGCTGCCTCGCGGTCGAACTCCACGATGCTGTCCCTGTAGTGGAAGTTCCTGTGAGCCCGGCACTCCCTGCAGTGCCATCGCTGACATCGTGGGTTAGGGAAGAAGTACCCTCTATAGATGGGGTGGCGCTGGGAGTTGGGTGGGTGAGGCGGGGGAGACGCGCAGGGGTGAGGCGTTATGAGAGGGTCACTGTTTACTACACACGCCCTCCCATAAACTGTCCAAGCAGATCTACATTCACATGTGTAGTGCTACGAAAGTAGATCTATGTTTTTTTACATATTTTCAAATATAACAAAAAAAAAAATAGATCAAAGTTTTTTACACATATTCAAATGTAAAAAAACAAAAAAAAGATCTACTTTTTTTTACATACAGCAGGGCCCCGCTTTATGGCGTTTCGCTTTACGGCGTTCCGCTAATACAGACATTTCAAATTATGATCAAAACTCGCTATACGGCTCCCCCCACCTGTCTTTCTAATACAGTCACAGCGGCCCACCGAGTTTGTTTACATTCTCCCTGAGCACATCTTATTATGTCTGGAAACTTTCCAAAATTTCAAGTGTTTTAAAGTTATTGTATATTTTATATGTATTGTACTTGATAATTAAACTTGTGTACACCTGTACCTAAATAAACTTACACACTGTGCTGGCATGTAGGTACACATTAAAATCACCAAGAGTCTCTCTACTCTTGATGCAATAATAATAATAATAGTAATAATAATCTCTTGGGCGCATTAATGTCGCATATTACGCTAATATAGACATTTCCCTTAATCTCTGATATTTTTTCAAAATTATATAAACACATTATGTAACACACAAACATGATACATGCACCCACAGTATAAAAATTTATACAAATATATATGAGATGTTTACCAAACGGTTTGTAGAAGTGTCGGAAGAATTACGTTTTCTCTAGCCCGTCACCTGTTACTAGGGATAACTGTAGAAAAATATTCCTTTCATATGCCTTCACTTTATAGCTATAATTCTGTACTAACTTGTACACAGTGTAAGAGTATTTGTTTCGTGATTTAATTATTATAATAATAATAAAAATATTATAAGGTAAAAGTTTCACAAACTCTTACAAATGTACATGAATGAACTAAAACTGGACACGTATTAATATCGTCTATTTCGCCTGACCGAGTGATCGTCCACAACTTGTTCAGTTTGTTTGTTTACGCTGTCTGAGCTCGGTGTATCATTAAATGTTGTATATTACGTTAATATACACATTTTCATTAATCCATCCGTGATATTTTTTTTCAAAATTATATAATAAACACGATACATAACATAAATACATAACATATGTGTAGAGAACCTAGGATAACCCAAAAAAGTCAGAGTGACTTACTTCCATTGCCTTCACTCAGAGCATCATTTCTTCTCAAAATGATGTTACATGAGAATGGGAGTGTTCTCTTTATTTATTCTTACCGTATCAATGTAGAGACAACCTGTACGCAATGTAACTTGTACACAAACCAGACGTGTACACTGTTTACAAAACTTACCTTCGCCTGGTTTGTTTACATAACTCTGCGCCTGTCCCTCTCATGCACTCATTCTTTCTCTCTGGTATGGTAGCCCGGCTGACTACCATACATACCACACTTGATTTTTTTACAATAAATACTACTCATATCACCCTATATTTTAAGGTAATGTAATGAGTGAACTGTATATACATTTTATCGCTCTGGGATGCTTAAATATCATAGAATATTATATGTGGGTGGGTTGGCCTGGTATGGTAGCCTGGCTGACTACCATACATACCACACTTGATTTTTTACAATAAATACTACTCATCTCACCCAATATTTTAAGGTAAGTAATGAGTGAACTGTATATACATTTTATTGCTCTGGGATGCTTAAATATCATAGAATAGTATGTGTGGGTGGGGTGGCCTGGTATGGTAGCCTGGCTGACTACCATACATACCACACTTGATTTCTTACAATAAATACTACTCGTCTCACCCTAGATTAAGACTATAAATATTTTAAGGTAAGTAATGAGCGCGCTATGTGTGTATTGTACTTTTTTATTGTTTTTTGATGCCTGGTTCTATTGCTAACATAATATATGTTAGTGTAAACTTGTTATCTAGTGTTTGTATGCATTTGTAAGTGGAAAAAAAGGGTGTTCCACTTTACGGCGGTTTCCGCTTTACGGCGGTAGCCTGGAACCTAACCCGCCATATAAGTGGGGCCCTCCTGTACTTTCAAATGTTGAAAAAACGTATACAGTGGACCCCCGGTTAACGATATTTTTTCACTCCAGAAGTATGTTCAGGTGCCAGTACTGACCAAATTTGTTCCCATAAGAAATATTGTGAAGTAGATTAGTCCATTTCAGACCCCCAAACATACACGTACAAACGCACTTACATAAATACACTTACATAATTGGTCGCATTCGGAGGTAATCGTTAAGCGGGGGTCCACTGTATATACGTTTGGACTGTTTACGGGTTAAAACAATATCAAAGATGGTCGACATAAACCCACTACCATTATACTGTAGTATGCTCTTCACTTAGCAACGAATTCGTTTACCGACATGGTCTTAGGAACGGAACTCCATCGTTAAGTAAGGAGAGACTATATTATTATTATTATGAAAAACACTGAGGTTAATTACATGTACTTTTGCAGGTTGTGCTTCAGGGATTCCAAAACGGTGCACCATCGCACTTCCTGACAGAGAAGATTACTGTCTCAGGGGTCGACCAGACTCCAGGTACACTGAGCACTACACCCACATGGGCTCTACACCACTTGGGGGAGATTTTACTTGATTTTGATCCAAGGAAGGAGAGTAAGGCTTTAATTCCTTAGATCAACAGGGTTGGTATAGTGACATCCCTATCCTTCTTTGATGGGTAGATATGTAGATATTTTGTTTTAACCAAAATAATCTGTTATTAACTCCTTAACTGTCCAAACATAAATCCACATTCTTAACGCTAGCGCTCCAAACGTAGATCAACGTTTTATTTTTCCTGCCTTCAAATTTGGCACAATTGGCCTGAGATTCCTGGTCAGTATAGAATGTATCTTAACACTCGATATGCGCAATATTAAAAATATCTGAGACCACTTAGTATCTTGCGGGAGCACCAGTTCACTTGAGCGCCAGCTAGAACAAACAACGTGGCAAACACCAGGGACTCACTGATGTCATGTTGTATTAACACTCCCCTTTTAAGAGGAAAGTGATGTTGGCCCTGAGTTTAATGGCTTTGAGATGGATGTGGCTGCAAGTGGTCGAGGAAATATCAAAATCCTCGATAATGAGGCATGTGCAACATTTGTGCAACATCCTTTCAATTCTGATACTGCTGGTAGTATCATCCTGCCAAAATATCCTATAACCTATACCCTGATTGACTTTGGCTGTCTCTGTCTATCTCTGTCTCACAGGTACACATAGATACAGTTATTATACATAGTGTAAATTACCTAGGATTACCCAAAAAAAATCCAAAGTGCCATACTGTGCTTATAGATATAAAGGCATAATAAGCATGACTGGCAAGTAATATGTATTTTCACTTATTCAGGAATAAGACGTGATGACTCTGCATCATGTGTAATACCTGTTGGTTCATGAGTAGCTCTCTCTCTCTGAGATAGAAAAGAGACAAGCAGACAGTGAGACAAGAAAACAGACAGATAAGCAGAGACAGAGATAAACAGAGACAGAGCTAGACAGACAGACATAGATAGACAAACGCATTTATGTGTAACAGTGAAAACAAATAAAGCCAAGGCAGTGCTTGATTATCAAGTGTCACTCCACTGCTGCAATGTCAGCAGTGGAATGACACTCATCTTACACTTTGCTTCAAGGAGTTTCATATATACTCCAGCAGGTCTAAAACATTTCTGGGACATATAAATACTTCATATATATTTCTAGACAATAGTATGTGACCAAGACAGGTGAAAATATTCACCTGTCAGTGTGTTTGTGACTTCATTTTGAGTACTATTTGTGTACCTAATATTAGTGTCACAATAATCATTAGCTATGAAATCACAAGAACTACTAAAATTGTAATTATCAGAACATAAAAAATATATAAATTAAGAAAAGAGAGAGAGAGAAAAAAAAGGTATATCGGCAGCATTTCTACAAGCGGCAGGACTCCATATTGCTGTCAGGTGAGCATCCTGCACCGACTTCACGGCCTTATACACCTACCATCTGACTTATGACCTGCTCAACATTCTACCACTGGACTTATGACCATGTTTTGTATGCAAATGTTCTGGGAAATAAACAACTGTTTGTGTTTAACACAGTGTTTCCCCTAAACTTTACAGTATAAAATACAATACTAACAGCACAAAAAGTAAAGTAAAAAATTAAATACCAAAATAAAACAATAAAATAGAATCATTACTTAAGGTGATGCTGATATTTAGTAGTAAGGTTCGACTTATGTCCATTTTGACTTATGACATGTTAGTCGGAACCAAGTCTTATTACACACAGAAAATTGCCCTCCCTAATTAAAAAAAAAAAAAAAAAATTTATTCAGAATATTTGGAGTACTGGCAGTGAAAACATAGATCTACGTTTAGACAGTTAACGGGTTAACATAATGTGTTAGGTTAATTGTGTTATAATCTCCATTAACCGGTGCCGCAGGATCCTTAACGAGCCCCATGAGCGTGGCATCCAGTACTGCCAGGATGGTGGCACCCAACCAAGCACTGCGAGGCATACCCCTGGCACCCCAGTACTTTATGACACCATCAGTCAGCATGGCACCTCTGATGACACCCACTGTGGCAGCACCCCAGGCCATGGCACTCTCCTCCGGGGCATACCTGCTGCCTTCAACACCACTGACAGGTACGTCCCCCTACACTCACCATTATGGCACCTCCTCCCACACCACCCCTTACAGTGATGACACTGTCTTGTCCTGTTCTTAACCCTTAAACTGTCCAAACGCAGACCTACGTTTTTTTTACATTTGAAAACGTGTAAAAAAACTTTGATCTACTTTTTTTGTTATATTTGAAAATATGTAAAAAAACATAAATCTACTTTTGGAGCACTACGCATGTGAACGTAGATCTGCTTGGACAGTTTAAGGGTTAATGACTGTGTTAGAGGTGGTATCTTAACTTTCTGCACATAACTGTTCCTTGACTTATGACGGGGTTATGTTGTGATGAACTCAGCATAAGTTGAAAATATCGTAAGTCGAATATGAATACAGCAGGACCCCCATATCTGCAGGGAATACATTCCAAGGACCTGCCATGGATATTGAAACCATGGATAGTAGCAAATATTATATATAAATCCTATACATAACTATTATAAAGTTTAATTACTAAATTATGCACAATAAGTGGAAAATTATCACTTTTTCACTGATGGGAAGCACTTGAGGGCTTCTCTTAGACTCTGAAGAACTGCAAGTTTCTCTTCTTTTGCAAAATTAAGAGGTATTTCTGGGCGACAGTAAACCGTGGATAACTGAAACTGCGGATACTGAATTCATGGATACGGGGTTCTACTGTATATAATAAATAAATAAATGTCACTGAATTAGTAAATAAATAATTACTGTAACTAAATACAAGTATTGAAAACTAAATAAATAAATACAAGTTTATCCTATCAGTAAATGTACAGTACCATACATGGTAATATTCAGTACCATACATGGTAATATTCAGTACCGTACATGGTAATATTCAGTACCATACATGGTAATATTCAGTACTGTACATGGTAATATATACCTACAGAAAGTACCGTACATGGTAATAGTACTGTACATGGTGATATTCAGTACTGTACATGGTGATATTCAGTACCGTACATGGTGATATTCAGTACCATACATGGTAATATTCAGTACCGTACATGGTAATATTCAGTACCGTACATGGTAATAGTACTGTACATGGTGATATTCAGTACTGTACATGGTGATATTCAGTACCGTACATGGTGATATTCAGTACCATACATGGTAATATTCAGTACTGTACATGGTAATAGTACTGTACATGGTGATATTCAGTACTGTATATGGTGATATTCAGTACTGTACATGGTGATATCCAGTACCATACATGGTGATATTCAGTACCATACATGGTGATATTAGGTACCATACATGATGATATTCAGTACCATACATGGTGATATTCAGTACCATACATGGTGATATTAGGTACCATACTGTAGACAGCCTGTACTGTCTGCACAGACAGCCCATGCTGTCTGCCAGCTTAGTTCATATTTCGTGCCATGCTGGTGCTGCCACCTATAGGCGTTGCCACTTCAGCCTGCCTGCCCTTGCCTCGCTCTCACACACACAGCGGCCTAGCAGCAAGACAGAAGGCCTTACTCCCTAGCTCTCTCTCGTGGGATGGCCCTCCCGGGCCATGGGCAAACACACAAGCCTGTGTACCCATCATGACTTAACAATAAACAAAGAAGCCTCCGAAGAAGTATATCATTTGAACCCCGCTACCATACTACCAAACAAATAATCCCATTAAACATTGGTAGCAGCGGTGGTCGCAGCAGTTGTTTGCCCGGAGAGAGGAAGGAGAGGTATGAAGTCATCTTCACTTCATCACCCTATACAAGAAGCATCTGTCTCTCAACGAGTTATCTTGATGTCGTGTCTGCATGTTTGAGCATCCAGACACAGGTACAAGCAGGATCCAGCCGAAATTTGCCGAAATTCTCCGAGAATTGTAAGTGACCCCACGCTACAGCGTCCCACGCTGTTTCTCAAGTCACGTGTTCAGCGTCACTTGTATGTTGCTGTTGTTGTTCAGCTCAGCACAGCTGTTTCAGCAAGCCAGAGGTGAGTTTCGTGGTGATTTCTGCATCCAGTGTGTTTCCCTGTGTTTGTGGGTGGGAGGAGGAGGAATGGCCAGATGCTCCCTCGCCATACACTCACCCACGCTCCTCGCCACCACACTACCATACACCACTCACCACTGCCCACTCCCTCTGCTGTGTTTTCTGCTGTTTTCCATGTGAATTCATTGCCAGAGCTGTGTATCCGAGTGCCCGAGGCCACTTGAAGCTACGTGGGTCAGCATGCCACGTAGATCACGACACCACGTGGATCACGACGCCACCGGTGTGGGCGATGTCACGTAGATCTACCAGCCATGTGAGTTACCAGATGTCCCAGGCCTCATGCTGTGGTCTGCTGCCCGCACCACATCGACGTCACCCACGATGCTGGCCGACTTCATGACGTCACGATGTCTGCTGACATCACCTCACGATGTCTGCCTGACATCACGTCGAGATGTCTGCTGACGTCATCACGCCTGACATCACCATCGAATGTTCAGTAATTATTAAAATATTGTCGAGAAGATAAGAGAAGATATATGTCGTGTGTTAATTCCTCTCAGTCAGTGTTCTCACATTTTAGTATATGTCTTAGTGTCAGTTTTATGCACAGAAAAGCATCATTTGCTAGTTTAAGCCATGTTGTACCGCATGTACAGCGGGTGTGTTTAAAGTTTCCATGTGTCCAGTGAGGTCTGAGCCAGACCTGAGTAGCACCACTGTGCTAAGTCACCCGAAGTGACCAGTACGTTTGACAGCTGATGTCAAGTCAGCCCCTGAATGACCGAGCCCTCTTGTACAGAAAGCTTTTATGCTCGTCGCTCGTGATGTTCTACAGAATCGTACCTGCTACGATTCCCATCGAGATTTGTTTCACTTCACCTCCAGACCATCAGAGTGCAGTTATATGTAGAGAAACAAGTCTGGGGATGCTTAGACTAACCTCTGCTATAACTCCAATCTGCTGAGAGAATGATACTTGTCAAGCCGCAGTCAGCCCTGTCGGCAGGCGCTGTGTCAGCCTCATGTCACAAGCTTCAGTGAGCAGCCTACACAAAGAAGATGTCACTTTGACTGCTAGCTCTCTCACTGCAGTCTGGTGTATGATGTTACGACTCCCAGATGTTTCGCCCAGTCCTCTCTGCCACGACTCGCTCCACGCTCGCCGGCAGTGACAGCCCAGCGACAGTACCAGCCGAGAAGTGTCCTCCTGAGTCGCTTGCCAGAAGTCCTGCCCAGTTGCCGAGTTTTGTCGACGCCTCACTCGAGGGCACTAGCATGTCGTGCCCCAGGTTGAGTGAAACCTGCAGCGACTCCTACGATGACTGCTTCACCGTTCCAGAGGAGACCCTAACCTGTTACATCACAGCTCAGCCGCAGCGATGTCTCCTGTGTTGCAGTATCTGTCCAGACGCAGGAAGGCGTGCAGTGATGCCCTTCGACGCTCACTGCCTATGACCACAATGTTTAGCACACCTCACGTTTTTTTTCTTCCCTCCCTGTAGGAAGTTTTTTCCATGTCCATATGTATATATATATATGTTTTTATTTTGTGTTCTGTGCCCTGTTCCTATGAGAGAGACCGAGTTCCTTTTACCACCAGTATCGTCTCGTCGGGACGACGCGCGGTAGGTGGCCAAGCATATGTAGACAGCCTGTACTGTCTGCACAGACAGCCCATGCTGTCTGCCAGCTTAGTTCATATTTCGCACCATGCTGGTGCTGCCACCTATAGGCGTTGCCACTTCAGCCTGCCTGCCCTTGCCTCGCTCTCACACACACAGCGGCCTAGCAGCAAGACAGAAGGCCTTACTCCCTAGCTCTCTCTCGTGGGATGGCCCTCCCGGGCCATGGGCAAACACACAAGCCTGTGTACCCACCACGACTTAACAATAAATAAAGAAGCCTCCGAAGAAGTATATCATTTGAACCCCGCTACCATACTACCAAACAAATAATCCCATTAAACAATACATGGTGATATTAGGTACCATACATGGTGATGTTCAGCACCATACATGGTGATATTCAGTACGATACATGGTGATATTCAGTACCATACATGGTGATATTAGGTACCATACATGGTGATATTCAGTACTGTACATGGTGACATTCAGTACTGTACACAGTGATATTCAGTACCATACATGGTGATATTCAGTACTGTACATGGTGATATTCAGTACCATACATGGTGATATTCAGTACCATACATGGTGATATTCAGTACTGTACATGGTGATATTCAGTACTGTACATGGTGATATTCAGTACTGTACATGGTGATATTCAGTACAGTACATGGTGACATTCAGTACTGTACATGGTGATATTCAGTACCGTACATGGTGATATTCAGTACTGTACATGGTAATATTTTGACTTCATGATGGTTCAGTAGCATACAGTACCGATATCATAAAAATCTTTGAAAGGGTCATAGGAAGCAAGATTGCCACCCATTGAGATACCCATCAGTTACATAACCCAGGGCAGCATGGGTGTACAGCAGGTCGCTTCTGTCTGTCCCAACTTCTGGATCACTAAGACAAGGTCCTGGATGCACTAGAAGACAAAAAGATTGCAGATCCAATATACAAAGCCTTTGACAAGTGTGACCATAGTGTAATAGTGCACAACAGAGTGAAGTCTGAGGTGGCTACAGTGAAAAGCTCTGTTCCACAATGCACAGTACTCACTCCCATCTTGTTCCTCATCCTCATATCAGACATATGCAGGGATATAAGCCAGAGTGCAGTGTCTTTCTTTGCAGATGACACCTGAATCTGCATGACAGTGTCTTCCATCGAAGACACTGCAAGGCTCCAGGCAGACATCAACCAAATCTTTCAATGGGCTGCCCAAAACAATACATGAAGTTCAACGATGAGAAATTTTAATTACTCCGATATGGTAAATGTGAGGAAATTAAAACTTCATCAGAGTATAAAACAAATTCCAGCCACACGATAGAGCGAAAAATTAACATCAAAGTCCTGGGAAAGATCATGTCAGAGGTTCTCACCTTCATGGACCGTAACATTGTATCAATCGAATCTGCTAGAAAAATGACAGGATGGATAATGAGAACCTTGAAAACTAGGGATGCCAAGCCCATGATGACACTCTTCAGGTCACTTGTTCTATCTAGGCTGGAATATTGCTGCACAATAACAGCATTTTTCAAGGCAGGTGAGATTGCTGACCTAGAAACTGTACAGAGAACCTTCATGGCATGCATAACTGAGATAAAACACCTCAGTTACTGGGAACGCTTGAAGTTCCTGAGCCTGTACTCCCTGAAATGCAGGCGGGAGAGATACATGATTACATATATACACCTGGAAAATCCTAGAGGGACTAGTACCAAACTTGCACATGAAAATCACTCCCAACGAAAGCTAAAGACTCGGCAGACGATGCAACATCCCCCCAATGAAAAGCAGGGGTGCTACTTGCATGATAAGAGACAACACAATAAGTGTCAGGGGCCCAAGACTGTTCAACTTCTTCCCAGCATACATAAGGGGGATTACCAATAGACCCCTGGCTGTCTTCAAGCAGGCACTGGACAAGCACCTAAAGTCGGTACCTGACCAGCCGGGCTGTGGTTTGTATGTTGGATTGTGTGCAGCCAGCAGTAACAGCCTAGTTGATCAGGCCCTGATCCACCATGAAGCCTGGTCACAGCACCTGTATTGTAGTAGGCCTTCTAGTTTTAGGCCTAGCTTGGTTTGGGGGGTCAGACTCCAGTCCATTCTGTGAGTTTCAGCATTTCTTCGTGCTTCCTAAATTTCAATTCTTTTTTTCCCCAGGGTATGAGAGCTTGAGCCCATATGCCCTCCAGGCAGCATTCTACCAGCAAGCACTGATGCCACAGCCAGGCATCGCGGCACTGGAGCGGTCATGTTACACTACCACGGGAGAATAACAGTACAGTGACTCTGAACAACATTAATGTTTTCAAACATTTTTAGTGCTTCTGACATTTAAAACATTTTTAGAAATAAGTGAAACAGTCGTGTTTACAGTGAACAGAGGTCACTGTATGTGTATAGTACAGTGAATGGAGGTCACTATGTGTATAGTGCAGTGAATGTTGGTCACTGTACATGTATAGTGCAGTGAACATAAGTCACTGTGCATGTCTAGTGCAGTGAATGCAGGTCACTGTATACATTTAGTACAGTGAAGCCAATGTAAACAGTGACCTCCTATCAGAACCCATTGACAAGTGTATGTCACTGCTACAACACATCCAAAAACTGTTAATACAACACAGTAGTATGCCGTGTATGGCATTAAAAAGCATGGGGCAAAACGTCTCGGTAAAACACCATAAATCGCACTGGCCAGCGCATGTTTTGGCACTGCATGGTGCCAGTGATCATGCGAAGGCACTCAGGGATGAGTGCCCAGGATTTTCTGTTTTCCATACAGTGTAACAGACAGTGAGTGTATGCTCAGTCCCACTTATGCAGGTCCCATTCAGGCAGGTCCCACTTTGGTAGGTTCTACTCTGGCAGGTCCCACCCTGGCAGGTCCTGCTTTGGCAGGTCCCACTTTGGTAGGTTCCACTCTGGCAGGTCCCACTTTGGTAGGTCCCACCCTGGCAGGTCCCACTCATGCTGGTCCCACTTTGTCAGGTCCCAGTCATGCAGGTTCCACTTTGTCAGGTCCCACTCATGCAGGTTCCACTTAGGCAGGTCCCATTCAGGTAGGTCCCACTCAGGTCCCACTGGCAGGTCCCATTCATGCTGCTGTAGTAAACAGTGATGTAAATCATTATATTGGAAATATTGAAAAACTTTAATACAGTCAGTTTGCTTATTTAAAAAGCTCATCTGTACACAATCAGTCCTCTTATAAAGCTCATCTGTATACAGTCAGTTCTCTTATAAAGCTCATCTATATACAGTCAGTTCTCTTATAAAGCTCATCTATATACAGTCAGTTTGCTTATAAAGCTCATCTATATACAGTCAGTTATCTTATAAAGTTCATCTATATACAGTCACTTCTCTTATAAAGCTCCTCTATATACAATTTGTAAGAGAGCTGACTGTGTACAGAGGAGCTTTGTAGGATAGCATACTGTATATAAAGGAACTTTTTAAGAACTGACTGTATATAATGTTGTAAAGTACTACAGTTTCTTGTATCAATTTATATTATCAACATTCAGGTAGTTTATATTATCATCAGCATTCAGGTAGTTTATCATCATCATCAACATTGGGATTGATAGAAAAGTGACTGTGATAATGTGTGAAATGTTTTAGCAGGTGTTTCATTTACAGCAAGACAACGATGTATGATATAAGAGCATATTGACGAATACAGACAATGGCATGTAATTGCAGACCATCACGCATGTAGTGTAGCTTTCCTGAGGGCAGGAGGAGGCAATAGTGACAGTGTGCTACTTTAAAAGCACTTTAATATTTGAGCAAAATGTGAGGATGTCGGCATCTCGTACAATGAGTGTTGTCTCGTCTCCTGTAAGTACAGTGCTCCCTGATTCTGCTCTATGGTATTGTTTCCTAAAAACCCCCTCAAGGAGGGAGATGTCAAAGGGGAGGTTGGGACACTGACCTAGGAGACTGAACCTGCCCTTCCCTCACATCCAGCCTTCTAGGCCACCCTTATGGGTTTAACGCTCCCCTGATTGTTGCTTCAGAGGCTGGGCTCTAGCACAGGATCTACTATCTACCCTCTCAAATTTAAATAAAACATTCCTTTGTTAACGAGGCATAATTTTGAGGTAAAAGTCAACAGAAGTAATTTCTGCATGTTTCTGGCCATTGTCTGAGTATTTTGTGTTAGAGTTCACTGACTGGTGTGAAAGTTGTGCAGGTGGTGACTAGAGCATGTTTCACCCACACTGGCTCGTGAAAGCCATCGGTGGGCAAAACATCACTGTTTGCAACTTCAGATTAACCCCCTTGAGTTAATCCCAAACCATCGTATTACATGGATTTATTTTCTGCGACAACCAGATAATGAATAACCCATATGGGGGGTCATCTGGAGAGCAGCAGCTAATCAAGTTTGATCTGAGGAAGAGGAGGCGAGCTGCCCCTCCCCCCCAGTTCCTTCAAAGAAAGTTAGGTAACCAAGTTTGCCTTTAAAACTTAAGTGCATATTTATTTGTTGAACCTTATTAGTAATAATGAGGAGTTGTTATCTTGTTAAGCTCCAAACCCATAAGTGTATACAATACTGTTGTATTTTATACAATCTGTGCTTTATTATTTAATTAGAGCCTTCAGCTCTATTATTTAAGTAATAGAGCTGAAGGTTTCACATTTTTTGTACCTTTGTAGTTGATGAGTGAGACAGGTGTAGCAATTAGTACCTTTGTAGTTGATGATTGAGACACAGGTGTAGCAGTTACAACCTTTGTGATTACCCACAATGCACTACTGGCTTTCTTTTGTGCCTAAAAACATTGTATTATGTGTAAACAACATTATCTGTGTACTGCATAAGATATTAAAATTAGAATTTTAATATATGCATCAGGTGACAGTTTGCTGGTGACTTACAAGCCTGGAGATACCACAAGTGGTGACTTACAAGCCTGGTGACACTACAAGTGGTGACTTACAAGCCTGGAGACACCACAAGTGGTGACTTACAAGCCTGGTGACACTACAAGTGGTGACTTACAAGCCTGGTGACACTACAAGTGGTGACTTACAAGCCTGGAGATACCACAAGTGGTGACTTACAAGCCTGGTGACACCACAAGTGGTGACTTACAAACCTGGAGACACCACAAGTGGTGACTTACAAGCCTGGAGACACCACAAGTGGTGAGGTGGTCTGAGGTAATCAGCCTCAGCTTTGAGGGACTGACTACCTTCCATCAAGGGTGAGGGACTAACTACCTTCCATCAAGGGTGAGGGACTGATTACCTTCCATCAAGGCTGAGGGACTGACTACCTTCCATCAAGGGTGAGGGACTGACTACCTTCCATCAAGGCTGAGGGACTGATTACCTTCCATCAAGGCTGAGGGACTGATTACCTTCCATCAAGGCTGAGAGACTGATTACCTCAATCCACTTCGTACTTTATCTCTGTATTCAATTGAAGAAGCCTTAACACAGGCAGAATGAGTGTCACATGCTTGAAGCTCATGAGGTGGTGTGTGTGTGTGTATGTGTACCCCTACACACACACATTCCCTGTGTGGTCCATCTTGTCAGTGTGTCTGTTTTACTGTACTCAGGTATCCAATCCTTTGGTGGTTCTCTCTAGGTAAACTCCAGGTAAACATAGTTGCATGTCTCATATATGGTGTACCATACACTCCTGCCATGACTCATACTGACCCCCAAACATGGTGTACCATACACTCCTGCCATGACTCATACTGACCCCAAACATGGTGTACCATACACTCCTGCATGACTCATACTGACCCCCAAACATGGTGTACCATACACTCCTGCCATGACTCATACTGACCCCCAAACATGGTGTACCATACACTCCTGCCATGACTCATACTGACCCCCAAACATGGTGTACCATACACTCCTGCCATGACTCATACTGACCCCCAAACATGGTGTACCATACACTCCTGCCATGACTCATACTGACCCCCAAACATGGTGTACCATACACTCCTGCCATGACTCATACTGACTCCAGAACAGAATACTTATAACACTTTCCTTCACATCTGTACCATTCAATACTTTCTTCAATAACAAACTTAGAATATTTTCTGCCTTATAAATTTGCTGAAAGCATTAGTGACTGTAAAATTAGAGTCCTTATTAAGATTCACAAGTCAGAGAGCAAGTACTACCATCCATTGTAGACTCTACCTAGATGACAACCAGCAGCTCCCATTACCTGGAGAGAGTTCTGGGGGTCAATGCCCCTGCAGCCCGGTCTGTGACCAGGCCTCATGGTGAATCAGGTCCTGATCAACCAGGTTGTTACTGCTGGCTGCACACAATCCAACGTACGAGCCACAGCCTGGCTGGTCAGGTACCGACTTTAGGTGCCTGTCCAGTGCCTGCTTGAAGACAGCCAGGGGTCTATTGGTAATCCCCCTTATGTATGCTGGGAGGCATTTGAACAGTCTTGGGCCCCTGACACTTATTGTGTTGTCTCTTAGCATGCTAGTGACACCCCTGCTTTTCATTGGGGGGGGGGATGTTGCATCGTACTATTCTATCTACAGCTGACACTGGATTAGTGGTACTTATATCCAGACCTGTTGAACAAAGCCACTACCAGACATCCAGGTTGTGGTGGACATGTTGGACTTTGTGCAGCTAGCATCAACAACCTGGTTGATCAAGTCATGCACCAGAAGGCCTGGTCTGGGACCAAACTGTGAGGGTGTTGATCCATGTAAGACTCTCCAGGTAGCTAGAATAGTGACTGCAGAAATATACAGTGTGGGCATGCGACATGTAGACATAAAATCATTAGTTTCAAACAAACGCAACTCTTCCACCAGGAAATCAACCTTAGCTGTGTTGTGTTTTCAATAAACACAAAGAAGCTGATTTTTTTTTGGGGTCCCGAAACACGCTGATCTTCAAGTCAATGAATAAGTTGAGTCAGCCTCTTGATTATTTATGTATACAAGCAGTAGCTACACTTGTGTCTACCACCAACACTCACACTCAGATACATGTTAGTGAATTCTATTGTAGCATTTAGAGCAATGTAAGAATAAGTGTGACAGGGTCATAAAAGGTCAGGAATCATTGATGCCGATCAAACTAGTCTAGCAGGTGGGGCCAGGAGCTGAGTCTCAGTCCCTCACAAACACACCCTGGTCAGTACAATTCACCAGATCAGCATTTTACAGGGAAGAGGTAAAGCTGTAGGGGCTCCCAGCATGAGAGGAACACACTTGTTACTAATGAAGTTTAAATCTATGGAAACAGCTCTAATCCCTGGGATCAAGAGCCCTTCTCCAGCATCAAGGCTCCACCCTATAAAAAGGTGTATTACCAAAGCATATAGAAGTGTATACCATCAGTAATACGTTGTATAGAGATGCATAATATTTTTGTATTAATACAAAGAGTGAAGAGTGAGAGACATTTCTCACTATAATACACAAATCCACAGTATTTACAAAGGATCTGACTAACATAAGATAGAATTTGATCCTCTACAACACAATTCTGATCCTAAAATGGTGATTCCTTTTCCCGTTTTGATTCAACAAACACCGTATAACATGATTACCACCATAATTATCACCATTTCTTTTTACTTGTTAATTTTGTTTCATATATATATATATACATACATACATACAGTAGGGCCCTATATCCGTGGGGGATACTGAGACCGTGGATAGTAGCAAATCCTATATATAAGTCCTCTACGTACCTATTATAAAGTTCAATTGATAAATTATGCACAATAAGTGGAGAATTATCACTTTTTCACTGATGGGAAGCACTTCAGTGCTTCTCTTAGGCTTTAAAGAACTGCAAGTTTCTTTACTTTTGCACTTTGGGGCCATTATTACTATACAAAATTAAGAGGTATTTTTTTGGCCATAAACTGAAACTGCGGACACTGAATTCATGGATGCAGGGGTTCTGCTGTATATTATATAATATACATATACAGGAGGTCTTCAATTTACAGTGTCAGTTGTTTTATAATTTGTAAGTCACTCATTTTTCAACTTATACTCAAGTAATCATTGTTTTTCAATTTACAAAGAATTTTTTTTTTTTTAACAATTTCAGTTTACAAACAAGTCTTCTTTTTTTTTTTCGTTTAATTTACAAAAGTATTGTTTGTACACCAAGTACAGCAGAGGTGATGTTATATTTGACATGCATTTATGCTGCACCTGGGTGCTCGTAAAACACCGTTTGGTTAACAAGTTCTCTGTTTGTAAGTGTCTTGTGAGGATGTTTTTAATTTACGGAGTTTTGTAAGTTGGTGACCTCTTGTAAATGTTAAAGAAAAAAAGCACATTGTAAACAGTACTGCTTGGATTGTAAACACAATGAAAATTCTATTTACATGGCTGTAAATCATTTACAGATTTTAATTAAGGAAATTAATTATTTACCTAGCTGTAAATAATTTACAGAAGATTTTAATTGAGGAAATTAATTTTATTTACCTAACTGTAAATAATTTACAGATTTTCATTAAGAAAATTAATGATTTAGTTAATTATAAATTAAGATATTGGTTAATTCTAATTTTGTTAATTAAGGTTGAATTTTAATTTCTGGATACTGATGATCGTGGATTATCTGAGCTGCTCTTGGATGAGGATCCACCTCCAGATTTTGGATAATATGACCCCAATGGAAATAAGTCACTCTGACTTTCTTGGGTTATCCCAGGTTCTCTACACACATGTTTCTATGTAACTGTGTACCTGAATAAACTTATCCATTTTATTTGTATAATCAAGTTGGGGCAATGGGTCGGAAAGACAGCCAGATATTCACAAGCTGAGTAATTCAGTGCTGGATAAATCCACCAATTTTCCATACGTTGGCTTATCCTTCTGAGCAAATGTTGGTATGTAAAGTGACTGAGTCAGTAGATTATCAGCAATGAAAAAAATATAACCCACAATAATATTGTGGGTTATTGTTGAGGTTGCAACAATTCACAGCCCACAATACCAAGGCTATTCACAACCCACAATACCAAGGCTGCAATAATTCACAACCCATAATACCAAGGCTCATATCAAAAAGATCCGAACATTAAAAAAAAAAAAAAAAAAAACCACAATACAGCGATCCCTCAAGTTACAAAATTAACCAGTTGCAGGAGACGTATCATACCTCACAACTACCACAACTCAGACGCCAAAATACTTTTAAGGTAATCCGTTGCCAGACCCTGGAAGTGCAACTTTTACTGCAGCTTGGGCTGTATGATCCTTGTGGGTTTAGTGCTCAGTTTTGGACTAACATTCTGACAGATATAACTTGCAGCCGCTCTGTCTCCCATCATCTGCTTCTCTTATATCCACAATAATAGTAGTCTTTTTCATCTTTATCATAATTTCTTTGCTTTTTTTTACTAGCTTAGATTTGTCATCCACTTGAATATTCTTTATAATATCTTTTTTGTTTGATAACAATAGAGATGGTTGAACATGGAAGCCATAGCCATGCACCGTGTCCTCATTCTGGCTCGGTTATGTTTTTTCCCAATTTTTTGTTTGATCTTCAGAGAGATTGGCTGTCTAGTGCTCACTTTAGGAGCCACGATGATGCAGTAACAAACATAATTAAATCACAAATGTTTATGTATCTCAAATTTTTTCATGGCAACTCACAATTCTTTTAAGAGTGCAAATCGTAACTTAAAATTAAAGTAATTGCAGTCTATCATAACTCAAGGGAACATTATACTTGACCATAAAGTAGACAGCAACACCTCCAAAAAAAGCCAGACCATTTAGTTTAAAATCTTAAAATTTGCCAAAATTAATCAAGTTTTCGACCACCATACCCTTTAGATGTAATGTTCAAGATACTGTGTTAAGAATTTGGTTTAACAATAAACAATACAGATCAACATTTGTGTTTGAAGGAAAAGTTGTATACTCTGCCCATATTGACGTATGTATTACTGATGTATGGCCATATTGCCAGGATTAATCTATAAGGAATAACATTGTTAGATGATAAATTAATTAACCTTTAAGGATCAGGTAAAAACAAATCCAGTTAATTTAACAAAATAAAAAAGTTACATGTTAATTTTAGGGAGGAAAAAAAGTTACCAAACTTATATTTCATCATTTTTCTTGTGGGGTTAAATTGACCTGCTTGATTATTATTATTTTTTTTATAATTATAAATCTTTACAAAAACTAACACAATTATTTATAAACTGGGAATTTATAAATTTTTTTTAAGGGGAAAAAATACTCATCATTAGCAAATCTGATTCGAGCAAATTATTGATGTGATTAACATTAATGAAGGCACCATCAATGATGTCATTAATGAAGGTGTCATCAGCCATGTCATTGATGAAAGCATCATCAAACATGTCAATAATGAGGGCATTGTCAACCATTTCTCGTCTTTTTTTTTCCTCTTTTGGTAACAATTTACATTCTCAATTATTATATTCTCATAAGTCGGAATTTTTAAGAAACGGGAGAAATTTACATTTCCGTTCTGGTAAATTGATTTTCATTTACAGTCTGGATTCGATAAATTTTTTATATTTTCATGCACCAGAATTTCAACGCCATGAAAAATATCGACTATTTTTTTTTGTCTTCATAAAAGCAATAGAGGATGTCAAAATTTTATTTATTTTACTTTACATACTGGTGGAAACTGAGTTATAGAATAAATAGAATAAAATAATAATAGAATTGCAGAATTATGTACTTTACTGATGTAAAATAAAGCATTGTTTTGTAAATCGTTTACGTAAATAAAGTAAAGCATTGTTTTGTAAATCGTTTACGTAAAGTAAAGCATTGTTTTGTAAATCATTTACACAAATAAAGTCACTCTTAATTATGGTTTTCTTAATGACCTTCTGAAGGCTTAACTGGTTATCCAGTGATGATTAATTTGTTCTTTAGTAACCCAAAAAAAAAATTGTGTAAGCTGTTGAAAAATGTTCTTGTACAGGAACACTGCCGCTAGCGGCAGTGACCAATTTTCCAGTGACTGATCGTCTCCCAGCGGCAGTGACCAATTTTCCAGTGACTGATCGTCTCCCAGTGGCAGTGATCTGTAAGGAGTCAAGAGCAGTGAGAGAATTAAATCCTATGTTGTTATTTTATGTTTGTCCACTGTTTTGTATTGTGATCCGAGGGACTTCACTGTAACTCCTAAATTTATATTTACAACCACCTAAGAGACAGTAAGTAAAACAACTCAATTTATCATTGCCTTATTAATCTTAAGTTTGCCCGAAATGCTCTACATATTAACCCTTTGACTGTCGCGGTCGTATATGTACGTCATAGGAGATACCGTGTTTAACGTATCTATACGCATAAATTCTAGCGGCTTCAAATCAAGCAGGAGAAAGCTGGTAGGCCCACATGTGAGAGAATGGGTCTCCATGGTCACTGTGCACCATATAAAAAAAATCGGGGAGCCAGTGGTGCATTGTGGGAATACCATTTCAGTCGTCCTTTTTCAGCATGTCTAGCGGTAAGAAATATGTGACTTCCCTTCAAATCTGGGACTCTTCTCTTCCCAAGTGATGCTCTAACACGATGGAAGTGTCAATGAAGATCAATTTCATGATTTCGAGGAGTTTGAGACCAAAAGCAATGGAGGAGGAGGAGGAGGAGGAAGAAGAGGAGGAAGGAAGGAGGGAGGAGGAGGAAGGTGGAAGGAGGGAGGAGGGAGGAGGGAGGAGGAAGAAGGAAGGAGGAAGAAGGAAGAAGAAGAAGAAAGAAGAAGAAAGAAGAAAGAAGAAGAAGAAGAAGAAGAAGAAGAAGAAGAAGAAGAAGAAGAAGAAGAAGAAGAAAACGACGAAAACGACGAACAAACATTTGTCTGTCTGTCTATTTGTCTGTCTGCCAAACTCCCTGTCTATCCGTCTAGCTCTGTCTCAGAGAGAGCCACAAGACTGTGTCATCATCACCTTTACTCACATCTTCAAGCAGAGTATAGCACTTTGTCTGGATTTTTTGGGTTATCCTAGGTAATTTACACTATGTATAGTTGTATTTATGTGTACCTGTGAGACAGAGATAGACAGAGAGAGAGAAAGAGAGACAGATTGAAAGAGATAGAATGAGGGAGAAAGATAATTAGATAGAATGGAGGGGAAGCAGCATCTGACCCCATTGTTTTGACAGGCGGTAGGGGCAGTGACTAATGAGACAATATGTCATTTTGACAGCTGCCCACTCCTGACTCAAAACAATTATAAGCCACACACTCGCACACAAGACAAGCTTGCTGAAGGGTGATAATAGCAGTTTTATGAAAGTATCTAGTGACTATATATGTGTATATATATTATAGAAACCAGAAGCAAGAAGGGAAGGCAGGAATGAAGGAAGGACTAGATGAAAGGAAGGAAAAAAGTAATGAAGGACAGATGAAGGAATGTAGGAAGAGAGGTGGTATGCCCTCCAGGTAGCCTCCAGGAAGGAAAGGAATGAAGGAAATTAGGAAGGAATGATGACACACGACCATTTACCTAGGATAGCTACATAACACAACTGCCTGCTAATACTTTGAAGAAAACTGCTCAGACGAGGTGTTTTGTCTTTGCACATGAAAAAAAATTCAACAAAAATGCACACACACTGATTTTATGTGTGAGAGTGTAAAACACCATTGTGTATGACACCATGTTTTATGTGTGAGGAGTGTAAAACACCACTGTGTATGACACCATGTTTTATGTGTGACAGTGTAAAATACCACTGTGTATGACACCATGTTTTATGTGTGAGGAGTGTAAAACACCATTGTGTATGACACCATGTTTTATGTGTGAGAGTGTAAAACACCACTGTGTATGACACCATGTTTTATGTGTAAGAGTGTAAAACACCACTGTGTATGACACCATGTTTCACAGAGTTCCACAAGCTACAGAACTTCTAGGAGTATGTTCAGTGACTGTATATTGGTATATATATTATAGAACAATAGTAATAAAAAATTTTTTGTATTATTTGTTGTTGTAAACAAGTTTTGTAAACAATATATTGATAATTATGTTTGTGTGCTTATTGTGTTGTATACAACGAGTGTATATATGTACATTGCACCTTACTTTGGTCTCATAGGCCACATAAGTTATGTAAAAAAATAAAATAGTGAAAAAAACAACAAACCTTCAAATACAAGTAAACCAAAGTTTACCGGGTGAGCGGCAGTCACTGCTGTTGCCATACGCGGCTCATTTTCTGCAAACTTCATGCCTCTATATCTCGGTAAGTACTGATGGGAAAAATTTTTTGGGGGGACTAAAACAATCAGAAAAATATTCTTAACATTTTCATAAGAAAAAATAATTTTTTTTTTTTTCGAATATTTTGCGACACCAGGAGCAACTTCAGGATTGGGCCCTTCGACAGTCAAAGGGTTAAGGGGCTTTCTGCATATACATCTAAATGTCATTTGCCTCTGTATAAACACTGTATCATACTGAAATAAAGTATCTTATCTTATCTTACAGTGTTAAATAACAAAAAGGCACAATACAGTGACTGGAACAATATACAAATAACCCGCACTTAGGAGAGAGAAGCTTACTACGACTTTTCGGTCCGACTTGGACCATTTACAAAGTCACACTAACAGAAAGGAGAGAAGGAGGGAGTATATATAGGCCAGCAGACAGGGATGGGACAAGAGAGGTAGTAGGAAAGGAAGACGAGAGGTAGAGGTAGTAGGTGTAGTAGTAGTGGAGTCAGTCGAAGACTAAGAAAGAGGAGCACTGCAAGGGAGCTAGGGGCCCACAAGGGTAGGAACAAAAACAAACAGGGGGAACAAATATAATGAACCAAATGCCCAAGGCAGAAAAAAGAGAACCCAAAGGAGAAAGAAGAAAGGGGAAGAGTGAGGAGAAACAAGAATCAGGTTAAGCCACAGGTGTTCTGAAGTAATGGGAAAGGAAGGCATCTACAGAGACAAAGCCAGGACTAAGATTCATACATGGAAAGTTGTGTATAAGGGAGGATTCAACCAGATTGGCAACAGTTGCCGTCTGGTTGAATCCTGTGTGTTTTTGTTCCTACCCTTTGTGGGCCCCTAGCTCCCTTGCAGTGCTTCTCTTTCTTAGTCTTCAACTGACCCCTACTACCTCTCTTGCCCTATCCCTGTCTGCTGGCCTATATATACTCCCTCCTTCTCTCATTTCTGTTAGTGTGAGTTTGTATATGATCCAAGTCAGACTGAAACATCATCGTAAGCTTCCCTCTCTTATGTGCGGTTATTTGTGTATCTTACAGTGCTATTGTTATTCTGTCTTTCATTACCCCCTACAACCATAACAGTGGCGATGGAGATGGGATTTCGGAGCCATAAGTGAACAGTATTTAGATAAGGCTAAAGAGGTTTTTGTGGCATTTATGGATTTGGAAAAGGCGTATGACAGAGTGGATAGGGGGGCAATGTGGCAGATGTTGCAGGTGTATGGTATAGGAGGTAGGTTACTGAAAGCAGTGAAGAGTTTTTACGAGGATAGTGAGGCTCAAGTTAGAGTATGTAGGAAAGAGGGACATTATTTCCCAGTAAAAGTAGGCCTTAGACAAGGATGTGTGATGTCACAGTGGTTGTTTAATATATTTATAGATGGGGTTATAAGAGAAGTAAATGCGAGGGTCTTGGCAAGAGGCGTAGAGTTAAAAGATAAAAAAATCACACAAAGTGGGAGTTGTCACAGTTGCTCTTTGCTGATGAAACTGTGCTCTTGGGAGATTCTGAAGAGAAGTTGCAGAGGTTGGTGGATGAATTTGGTAGGGTGTGCAAAAGAAGAAAATTAAAAGTGAATACAGGAAAGAGTAAGGTTATGAGGATAACAAAAAGATTAGGTGATGAAAGATTGGATATCCGATTGGAGGGAGAGAGTATGGAGGAGGTGAATGTATTCAGATATTTGGGAGTGGACGTGTCAGCGGATGGGTCTATGAAAGATGAGGCAAATAATAGAATTGATGAGGGGAAAAGGGTGAGTGGTGCACTTAGGAGTCTGTGGAGACAAAGAACTTTGTCCTTGGAGGCAAAGAGGGGAATGTATGAGAGTATAGTTTTACCAACGCTCTTATATAGAGGGACTAGTACCGAACTTGCACACGAAAATTACTCACTACGAAAGCAAAAGACTTGGCAGACGATGCAACATCCCCCCAATGAAAAGCAGGGGTGTCACTAGCACGTTAAGAGACCATACAATAAGTGTCAGGGGCTCGAGACTGTTCAACTTCCTCCCAGCATACATAAGGGGGATTACCAACAGACCCCTGGCAGTCTTCAAGCTGGCACTGGACAAGCACCTAAAGTTGGTACCTGACCAGCCGGGCTGTGGATCGTACGTTGGTTTGCGTGCAGCCAGCAGTAACAGCTTGGTTGATCAGGCTCTGATCCACCAGGAGGCCTGGTCCCAGACCGGGCCGTGGGGGCGTTGACCCCCGGAACTCTCTCCAGGTAAACTCCAGGTATATGGGTGTGAAGCATGGGTGATGAATGTTGCAGCGAGGAGAAGGCTGGAGGCAGTGGAGATGTCATGTCTGAGGGCAATGTGTGATGTGAATATAATGCAGGGAATTCGTAGTTTGGAAGTTAGGAGGAGGTGCGGGATTACCAAAACTGTTGTCCAGAGGGCTGAGGAAGGGTGTTGAGGTGGTTCGGACATGTAGAGAGAATAGAGCGAAACAGAACGATTTCAAGAGTGTATCAGTCTGTAGTGGAAGGAAGGCGGGGTAGGGGTCGGCCTAGGAAAGGTTGGAGGAAGGGGGTAAAGGAGGTTTTGTGTGCGAGGGGCTTGGACTTCCAGCAGGCATGCGTGAGCGTGTTTGATAGGAGTGAATGGAGACAAA